TATACCAAACAAAATCCTAACTATTCGGCTACAATTTGGTAATAAATATATTTAAATAAACCGCATGGTATTAAAATTATTTTAATTCAAAGTAGGGGAGTCATTTAATGTCATCCCTGTATTTAAATCATTTAAATTTAACAAAGTTAACAAAAATATAATTACTGGGTATAAAAAACCTATTGCTTTAATTAATAATGTTGATTATATGAATAACTTATTTTTAATTGAATAATTTAAATGAACTTTACCAAATAATTAAAGTTATTATTTATTAAATTAAAAATACAAAATTAACTTTATAATGCATTAATATAAATTTTTCGTAATAACAGGCTTAGTATTATTATTTTTATTAGTTCATTTATAATAATAAAATATTTACTCAAATATAAAATTATCTTGCAATATAATTAACATAAATCTATATGTGTTATAATAATAGCTATCATTTATAATGTTTATAAACAACCATTGTACATTATTTTTATAGCAAATTACTTTGATTTCAATATTATCTGAAATTGTTTGGGAAACTGTAGCCACAAATTAATAGGATCTGGCTCCAACGCGCTATCCATACTATCTCTGTCCCCATAAAATTCAATTTTATAATCATTGGTTAATTGCATAAATCTGACCAGGGCCAAAAATAGGTCATTTATAGCCAACATTTCACCAGGGCATATACGGCGACCGTAACTAAATGGTATATAAGCCGCGGGTTTGTTGGATAAAAATTGACCCTCGTTGTCAAACCATCGTTCAGGTATAAACTTATCCGGCTTATCCCAGTGAGCCTGGTCCATTAATATACAGTATTGGTGTAACACTACACGTGTGTTTTCCGGTATGTTATGCTTGCCTGGTGATTAAATAATATAAATTCATATTAATAAGCTAACTAAAAGATATTTATTTCAGATAAAATTAATTATCAACTTTTGTAATCTAAATTATAATAATATTTTGTAATTAATTATTTACTTTAAAAATATACTTTCTAATAGGATGCATACTTAGTAATTATTAAAATTAAAATATTATTTTTTTTATAATTTTTATTATACCTTAACATAATTTTCAGAATTATCTACAGTTTAAATTTTAATAATTTATAGCTAAATACTACTAAAATAAGTAATAAATTTACAACTTATAAATTAATCATGCATACTAAAATTAATGTCTATTTTAAATTTTGAAATTAAAATATAAATTAATAATTACCTAGTTTACAATCTACCATAGTTTTATGGAAAACGCCTATTGGGAGGGCATTTCTGAACCTCAATATTTCCGACAAAAATGCCATTACGTAATTTAACCTTGGTTTATCATCGACCATGGGCACTTTGTCGCCAATCTCGCGTGTAATCTCATCACGCAACTTTTGCTGATACTCC